CCCCCCCTCTCTCTCTCTCTCTCTCTCTCTCTCTCTCTCTCTCTCTCTCTCTCTCTCTCTCTCTCTCTCTCTCTCTCTCTCTCTCTCATCTTTTGCTTTTCATCTAGTTACCTTTCTATTGTTCCCATCTTTGATAGTTGGGTTTAGTAGTTGTCATTTTGGTCGTTAATTAAACCGAATTGAATAAAATATATTCATAATCGAACCGAATTTGATATAGAAACGTAGCAATAATGACTTTTCTAAAACCCGAAAAAATTGAATCTGAATTGAACATAACTGGATAAAAAAAATAACAGAAAAATTAATTTTTATTTTAAAATGAATTTTTATCTATAAAAAAACAGATCCAAACCTAATGAATCGAACTGAGATTGATATAAAAACCGAATGTTTATAGTTTTTTATTACTGAATCCGAAGCGTGTCCCTAGGTTAGACTCTTTTGTTCACGATTTTCATCATCTTATTTTTATGTGATTCTTTTTCATATATAAATAATGCTTTCTATGATTTTGAATTTTTTTTTATCAAATCAGAGGATACACAAAATGAGTATGTGAAATTGGAGATTTGTAAGGAGTAAAGAGGTATAGAAGAGAGTCAAATGGTTTTGTTTTTATCATTTGAAATTTCAATATAGTGCAGATGAAAATGACCAAGTGATTTGAAATTTCACCATCACTCAAAAAAAAATTGTCTCTCTTCCATTTATAGAAGATAGTGATGCTTATTTCTTTTAATGGAAATGGTAATATGCCTAAATTAAGACAAAACCCTAACCGTTATCATCCATGAACATGACACACTCAAAAACCACTTCCATTAGAATTGATTTGTACCATTTCTTTCCCCTTTTCCCAACCAATAACACATGAAGGTGACAAAACAAGAAGCATATGCATACATGGTATGCCCTTTTCATTGAATAAGGATGCAAAATATAAATAAATAGAAAAATAATTTAAAAGAAAATAACAAAAGGCATGAACTATGTAACTATCCCATTGAATTGCCTAGTGGCAAGACAACTAAGCAGTGTTATGTTTCATCCAATCTAATTACAATTACAACTCATGAGAAATTTGAGAAAATATATATTTTTTTTCACTCTTCAATTTATGGTAAAGTGTTATAGAACTCTTCTATTATAAAAGTGTCTATTTTCAAAATTTTCATATGGAAAAATTTGTGGAAACTTATATGAATTAAAATGACTAATGGATGGATTTCTTTAAGGTAACTGATAACATTAGATTAAATAAGATTTTCACCCACATCATACCAAATGTATACACACCCATACGCTAAAGCTATTGCAACAAAAATCTTGACAAGAGAGGATCATATGAAAATTTCCACAATCTAATAATGTGTGAAGCCAAAGCTTCAAATGAAGAGTGATGTAGAAACAGATGGAGTGTTGGAAGAGGGCCATTCATCGAGGAACCTATGAACTCTCTTGTTCCTTTGCTCTTCTTCTTCTTCTTCTTCTTCTTCTTCATTTCCATGATCTTCACTCTGCTTCATCTTCTTCCCCAGCATCAATGGCGTTTCATGAGTTGCAATATCAGTGCCTAAGATGAAGCACTGTCGGCTCGGCTTCTCATCCTTTGCTGCTCCTTCGACAGAGTAGTGATAGTTGTTGTTGTTCCTCTGTTTCTGGGAGTACGATGATGTCGTCAGGGGAGTGAATCCCCATCGCCCGTCTTCCATTGATGAACCGGAGAAGCTTTTGATTGAGCCAGAAGGTTCTATGGAGAAGAAATCGTCCATGTAGTCGCTTCTTCTTCCCCTTCACCCCAAAACAGAGACATACATCACTTAGTTCTTCAAAATCAACACATTTCAGGACAAACAACGAGACAAAACACTAAAAATTGCAGACAAAACACAGTAGCTCTGTTTTACCTTGATGATTCGAATTCATCTCAGAACCCAAAACAGAAATGACGGAAACATACCTGAGGTCATTGTTGGCGGTGAACGGGCAGGAAGAACCGGAAGATTCAAGAAACAGAGCACGAGGGGCGTTGTTATGTTGTCTGGAGAGAGAGAGAGGGTTCAGACAGAGAGAAGAGAGATTGGTGTTGACTTTGAGATTGTTGAAGGAGAATGTGGATGAAGTTGCAGAAACAGAGGATGACGACGATGAAGAAGAAGAAGAAGAAGAATTAGTGTTTGAGAATTCCACAGGCTTTCTTGAACGGTTCTTGCCTCTGTGCATGTGCCTCTCGCAGTACTTGGAATCTGGATAGGCTTCTTTCGAGCACCGCCATTTTTTTCCGTCTGTTCTTCTGCATCTTCCTGGCTCAGGATCGATCTTCCTTCCCAACCCCATGTCGTAAACGTACCACGAAACTGCAGAAACCAATACCCAAAACAAAAATCGTTTCTGTCAGGAAGCAAAAATCCATGTTTTTTTTCGTTCACTTGTCGTAAAAGTTCAAACTCGAGAGCACCCATGTCAAATTTCACGAAGAAACGAGAAACCCACGATCCAAAAAGGTGTAAAATCAATGAAAGGTACTTCCTTTAAGATGTGTACGTATACATATATATACATATGTGTGTGTGTAAGAGGAAAGTTTTCATTTTTAGAGTAAAGTTTCGAAATTTGTGGGATTACAGTTGAACCCACAACCAGATTTTCTCAGAAACTGAAAAATGAAAGACGCCACTCTCATCATCAAGAATTGGAAGACCCATAACACCAGGAACCACCTGTATACACATATATAAACACACCAATCTTGAAGATTCACAGAGGTTCCCTAACTTTTGTGGTTCAGAAACCAGAAAGACGTTATATAAAGCAGAAGAAAGGGCAAAAACAAGAACGATTTCCTCTTCTTTGGCTTACAATGAGGAGCAGCAGCGCGAGAGAAGAACTTGGAGGACAAATGCGAAGAAGAAGAAATCAAGGTTCTTCTGATGGGGAAGAGAAGATCAGGAGGAACAGGAACACCAGCGACTATGTACTTGAAGATGAGAGCTTGGTGTTCAAGCTCTTCCCACTGTGACTCAGTGAAAGGCACTCTGCTCGTCGCCATTGATGCACCCACAGAGAGAGAGAGAGAGTAATGGCGGTGGTTTCAGAAACAGAGAGGGCTTGTTCAGTATAAGAAGGAAGGAGAGGAAGGAGGAGAGCACAAGAGTGGTTTCAGAGAGGGTTTTGGGGGTTTGGTCATGATATTAATTAAGCAGAGAGAGAGAGAGAGAGAGAGGCAACAAGTGTAGAGTAGGTATGTTTTTATTGATAAAGTGTCCATTTGCGTTCTGCAGAATCTCTCTGTTCCATGTCCCCATTCTCTCTGTTTCACACCTTTGTTTTGTTTTCTTTTTAACCTTTTTTATAATGCAGATTCTTGTAACGTCCGGACCATCCGTTCTGTAATAATTATTTGGACCAAGAACTCAACATCTGTATAATCGAGAGTGAATTAACTATTAAGAAATCGGAGTGAATAACCCTCTACAAATAAAAACCCGAACTTTACTCTCTTATTTTGTCGGTTGAATCATCCAATATTGAATAATCTGTATAATTTTGGATATATCGTCTGGTTTTCTTGTATCAATGATGAAAATTCAGAACAACTTGTGAACTAAATCATATTAATGGTAAATGGGTCTCTAGTTAGGCTTATGATTATCAATCAAGTCTCAATGAAACAATGGTTTTTCTTTTTAATTTTCAGAAAGAAAAAAAATGATTTGTGTATACACAGTCTCACACGAGATGACATGATGATTGGTAACCTCGGAGTCATTGAAATTAGTGAGATTCATGAACATATACGCAACAGATGAAGATTTAAAGAAATTAAGTGTTTGTATATACATATATATATATATATACATAAATGGGCGGTGAAATCCAAAGTGGGGGGTGGAGGCAGGTGACAGTGTAATTTCCAAGTCAGAGAGTGTGTCAGAGACTGAGACCTCTTATGCATTATGACTCTCTCTGATCACTTCCCTGCACCTCTCTGTCCTCTCTCTCTCTCTCTCCCCTGAATCCCATACATACACATCTCTCTCTCTCTCTATATATATATATATGATAAGAATCCTTTTATATGATTCTCATCCATATGATACAGATACACCATTATCATCATTTCTTGGTTGCTTCCTCGTTTTGAATGTAAATACTTCCTTCTTTGTTGCAAAAGAAAGATTGAGAACAGAGTGAATGTGTTTTTGGATTCTGCAGTAATCTATTCTCAGAAGAGAAATGATTTGAGACATCTATGTGCTCATCATCTGATATTATTGTTGTAACGAGTCCAAAAGAGCAGGAAGACAATTTTCAGTATAACATTTTGATAAAATGATTAGGTAACCAAAATGAAATTTAAATATATTTAACCACAACGGCGGGCTTACAAAAAAACCCATATAAACACATTGACTGAATTCACACAGACAAGAAATAAGTTTAACATTTTTTAAATATTTAGTATAAATTCTTTAATGAGAGTAATGTAGAAAATGAGGATTTATGGCGCTCAGGATATGGAGGACACTTGGTGGGTCATAATTAGTTTGTTCACTAAATGTGAGGAGTTAGATGGAAGAAGAAGACTGTACTCACTGAGTTACACAGGCTTTTACTGCAACTCTCTTTTGCTCTCTCTCTCTCTCTCCCTCTCTCTCTCTCTCTCTCTCTCCTTTGTTTTTCTTCTTTTATTTTATATATGCATACACACACACATATATATATATATACTGTCCTTTGTGGTTAGTGTTCATTCAACTTGCACTTGCAAAATAAAACCTACAATGTAACCACAACACAATCTGGACTTTCTTTCTCTTTGGCAACTATAAAAGGGAGCAAAGCTGAGAATTGCAGATTTGTCTGTCCAATTCTTCTAGGGTTTTGACCAAACAGACCCCCTCAATTTTGACCACAAACTTACAGAAAACCATGTCCTTTTTTTCTGCTGGGTAAAAAAAAAGCACATCACTATCGGTTTCCCCTTTGGAATCCATAGCCACTGGCCTTTGGTTCCATCATCAATATCAAGAACTATCACTTCATGTAATGGCAAAACCATCTTTCTATATCTTAAACCAACTCTGATAACGCAACCATAGTTAAATGATGCGTTGAGATTGTACCTTAATCCTCAAGGAGGGGCTTGGAAATGCAGGAAACTGAGTTGTTCTTGCTTCTTTGTCTAGTTTTGGACAAACCCAACTTCAGATAATCACCAACAACCTCTGCAAAGTATAACCTGCATTCTCTAAGGTTTCCATTGATGTCCTATACGGCAAACCAGCCCCCTTGCTTCCTCATTCAAGTATTTATCTGGTCGACTCTTCCTTCAATAGATTCTAATCTCAGAAATTCTTACAAATAGTTTGTGACAGATACAATATAGTGCAAGCTCTGTTTTCATTCAACCCTTTTAATTTTAACAGTACCACGCGGTCAAGCCTATTTTGCATGGTGTGGAGACTGAAACTTTGTGTTACATCAGACCAGAGTAACTTTCTTCTTACCAGCACTTCTTTATGGAAGTTTACAGCTTCTGTATGAAGGAAAGAACGAGATCCGTGTGTACAGAGAAGAGTTGTGTGTCCACGAAAAGCTGCTTGCCATTCACACCAAGAGTCAAGAAAAATGTCGTCAGTATTGCTTTTTTAAGACCATCTAAAAAAATGTAATAAGGGTTATATCCATTGTTGAGATGAATTCTCTTTATCCAGGCCATCAAGGAAGAAACCTTTCATACAATGTAACTGAGAGCAGTTCTTGATTTGTCATTCAAACAGTAAGCTATATTGCATGCATAGGGTTTAGCCAATGCATGCCCCAAACTATAGTGGCTAGTGAGTGTTTCCAACTTTAACAAGAAGATTCACAGTATGAATTTGGATAGGTTATCAAGCGCATTTTTTCTATAACATGTGAGAAATCACAATGAAGGGCCGACTTGGCTCAGCGGTAAAACCATTTACCGTGGGGTCTGAGGTCGCGGGTTCGAATCCGTCTTTCTACATAAAATGTAGGGGTAAGGCGGCCTAATATATTCCCTTCCCCAGCACCCCCATAGATGGGGATACGAAGTGGGTTGGTCCTTTTTTATGTGAGAAATCACAATGAGGGTGAATGAAGTGATGCAAAAGGCTCACCTTCATGAACGAGCGATGGCGGCTAGGGAATGAGTCAATGAAACTTTCCTTAAACAGAAGAGATACCTGAAAGAAAGGTTTTAGACAAGCCCAAGATCAATATACCTTTATATAATTTTCATCAAAGAACTCAATATTGCAGTCCGTAGATCATTACTTTTTGAAATACAGGACTATGTGATCAAACACAGGATTGTAATAAGATCTAGTCACAGGCAAAGTCCTTGCACTGACACCTCAACGTCATGAGAATTTCTCCCCTCCTTCCATGTTTCCGCTAGCCAGTATATACATGGTGTTGGGAAGAGAAAATCCTTTGATCTTACAAGTTAGGACTTGTTGAGTACAAATTCCATTATCTCATCACTTACATCATAATTCTGCTAATGTGTTATCAAATCGAACAAGATATTGTAACCTAGTCACTTAAAATCCTACAAGGAGGAACAGAAAACACTGCCAATAATCTTTCCCCTTTGTGCTAACAGGGTGAAACACAAACCTTATCATTATTGGATTGTACATTTGTAATGGTGTGAGACCGCAGGTTGGAGCAAAGAGAATCAAGGTATGACCTTAGCACGCGCAGGAAGCCTTTTGCAGCCTCCACCTGTGAATAATTAGAAATAGGATGCAATGAATGACGTATGGTTAAAACAGCAGGAAATCCCCCAAACCTTCTGTGCAAAAAATACAAGGGAATAGGGATAAACTGCATCATGCATAAATCTTGTTCATAAACTTATGGAGCATATGTGTTTCTTGAATCTAGACTTTGGATGATGCACATCAAGCCTGACTGCTAGCAAAATAACAATTACACAAACAAGTTCATTGCTTCATGGAAAGACAAAACTACAACCATATAGATGAAGGGGCATGTACGTTGAGACAGAAGTACACTGCCCAAAAATTATGTACTATAGGTCTCTTGTTTAGACAGAAGAGAGAGAGAGAGACCTGCACATCTGTGCTCTCATATACTGGCCTTTTCTTTGCTAGGTAGCTTTCACCAACGAGCTTTGCATGATAAGGACTTAGTGCACTATATAACTCTCGATACTGAGGCAGCTGAGGGATAGATGGTGACTTAATCTGTACAAAATAAAGATTATAAGCAAAGAGATACACGCCACTTGTCACTTGTTAGACATCATCCGTGAAGAGAGGTGAAGAATATAACGAGAGCATTGTTTCCAAAATGCTTAATAAAACAGCTTGCGATGTCGATAGACCAAATAGTGTAAGAGCAGTGAATATGACAGTAGATAGGTGCAGAAGATAATGAGATGGGCTCAGGTCGAGACTGACCTGGTTCTTGTTAACATCCACAACAATAACATTGGCTAGCTTTGATTGAACTTCACTCGTTTTATTCTTTACACCAACCTATAAACAAGCATAACCTCTTAGTTGAGAACAAAAAAATAGCTTCTTATTCCGAAGGAGATGCAAAAAAGGATGTCTATTTTCGACATTTGTAATGTGAACCCAACATCACATTTCATCCTCCAACACAATATTTTCGAGAATGCATGTATTTAAGTTCAGAAACTCACTACGTAAGGGACTGGGGCATCCAAAAATTCCAGCATATCATCTGGCAAAACCTGGACATCAATATCTACCATCAGTTATAGTAGGAACACCTCCCAAAAGATTGCTAAGTAACTCATACAGATACCAGGATCATACAGGCATTAAAAGGCTCTGCCACTGATACGGACGGATGAGAGGGATAATTGATAAGACCGAGGCAGATAAGACTCCCTTGTATTTCAGGAAAAAGAGAAAAACAAACTTGTTAAGCTAATAAGAGAAATTCAACTTTCTAATTTTCAAAACTGTTCAGTATATCAACAGATAAATAGATAATCTATAATTATGCATAGACCAAATAAAAATTCCATGAACTATGATTACCAAATTAGAGCAAATAAAAACAATCTGCTTCTCAAGCAATGCACTGGTGAGCACTGTCAGCACCTACAAAAAGAGGAGAAACATCAGAATCAAAACTCAATGGGAAGGCTGAGCAAGAAGTGCAATATTGGTCAGCATTCAACCATCGTACACCACCAAGAAACACGGTATTATAACTACCACGAGATCAAACCAACAATATATGACTTGTAAATCATTTTACATCTGTATCAGCCACACAGAAACCAAAAGCCTAGATTACTATGAGAAGGATATATAAGGAAGAAATCACATTGTCAAGCCGCAGTGATCCACACAACGAAGCGACAGCCCATGTTGATAGTGCAGCTGCTTCTTCCTCAGCCATGAGCGCAGTGTGCGCCTAAAGGCCAAACAAGGAAGAGAGACATTGAAAGGTCAAATATAGGTCTACCGAAACTATATAATGCAACAAGTATACTCGATATTTACTCACAACGATCTTTGATACCTCTGTGAGTTCTAGACTAGTGCTACATGAGCGTAGGTCGATGGTTGATCCAGCAGTATGCAGGACTGTTTCATCGGGTCTACGATATTCCAATGGATGAAGATGCTCCAGCGGGTGAAATGTAAGTGTTGAGCCCCTAGTGGGGCACTGTAATTGGTAATATTCACACAGTATCTGTAATGACCCATTCTTTTTTGCCTGAATCATTAAAAGGTAGGTCAAATTCCATTATTAGAAGTCTGATGATGGATATGTCAGAACGGATGAAACTTCTTAGTGTAATAACACATCAAAGACTGTCACCTTTGCCCACTCAAGGATATCAATATTACAGCTTGAGTCTTCCTGGCCAGAGAAGGATGTTTCATCTGTCTCAGTGTCATCTGCATCAGTCCTAAAATGCCTTCCTTCACAAGGGGAAGCCTGAAAGCTGCAAAAGGTAAGTTATATGATATACAAGTAGAAGCTTCCGGGGTGGGGGGATAACGTCTGACGAAACAAATCAAATAAAAAATGGCTTAAAAGTGATTTAAGAGTATTTCTAACTCCTTGTGCACAGTAAGATAATGGTTAAGGTTGAATCTCGAAAACTCGTTAGGCTCACAGTTGATGCTTTGCCGATAATCTCAGCTAGATCATAATTAATTCTAATTCATTTTGTCTTTTGGTCTACAACTGATGCTCTGAAAATATCCTCAACTAGATCATAGTCAATTCTATTCGTTTTGCCAAGTAGAAGAACTTTATGACCTACAATTAATCCTAAATACATAAAAGAGGATCAAACTATTTATTTTGCCAAGTATATTAAAGCTTATAAGTATTTAAGCAAACAAAAATAGATATAAGCACCTCAATTCAAACCTATGAAACATATTTCTTAATAAGCTACTTGTTATGGGACTTAAATGACTTACCTAGAACCAGAATCAGAGCTTTCATCCAAATAAGGGCACCAGAGCAGTGGACCAGTATCAGATAAACCACTTTCCCTTCCTTGCTTAATATTTGATGAAGAATCATCAGCTACGACAACTTTGTCTACTGAGTCTATGAAACACGATTCAGTTTTCGTTGTCACCACAAGATCAGACACATCATCAGCATTTCGTTTCGGCGAACCCAAGTTGGCTCCAACCTTCTGATTCTCCACGCAAGTCCCATTATCTGACACTTCATCAGCTTCATGAATTTCTGAAGCTGTATTTTCAGTTTCTGCATGTGTATCACCAGCATCTCTTTGCTCAGGTGATATGACATTAAAGCTTTCTCCATCGTCCATTGAGGGCTCAAAAGCTATATCATTGATGCCACTCATCAATCGCTCTAGCCTTTCTTCCGTAAAGATGCTACAACAGAAAGAAATGTGAAGGTGAGCAGACTAGGATGAACTGAAAACTAGAAAGATTAATTACATCTATTTGTAGTTTTACTTTGTCAGTAACTTGTTCACTCTAATCCTTCTCATTCTCAAAAAAGGAAAAAAGAAAGAAAGCTGAATTTAAGCCTGCAGCTGGATCACGGGCAAGCAAAGCCGTATGCACCACCTGCCCAATATGTTCTTTATCTATGAATCACACATCTTTCTAATTATAAGTTAAAGATTGCTCTTGTGAGACACTGCCACAATGAATCAGTAACCAAGGCTTATTGCATGGATGCACCACTCGAATTATAAAGATGCATGAAACAAAGAAAAACCTGGAAGCAAACTGCACACACCTATTTAATACACCGAAATGCAGTTCAAAAAAGGGCAGCCTAGTTAGGAGGCAATAGCATCGGCGTGTTGTCAGCATATGACGGCTTAATGATGAGGAAGCAGGTTCCTTCTCTAAAACTGTGGAAAGCAATCTGGAGGGTCTGTTTACTATTTCTTCAACCAGTATGCAGCATCCATACAAAGTTGAATTATCGGCAACCTGACAAGAAAGAATCATTTAAATGATAAATAAGAGACATGAGCAGATCATAGATATTAAACCCAATATGAATGAAAGATGAAGCTTTACCTGTAACCTAAATACAAATGAAAGGTCACTAGGTCTAAGCCGTTCCTGAAAACATCAGCAATGTGAAATTTGAAATTAGCACACGAGATATCATAAAAGTTTGACAGCATATGAATTCAAACAATGAGGAAATCCACGAGAAAATTCAGATATCATTGATTTAAACACAAAATGCAAAACTACGAACATCAATTGCTTCCCATCCACACCTGATAGGACAATTACCTGACTAAGAATGACCTCATTCAATTCACTCATTGAAGGAGTTCTCTCTACAGCATAAACCTGAAACCATTAGCCAACAGATTTTAGAACACCAACATGGACTTCAGGCAAGCTGAAAATGGGATAGCAGATAAAACACAGAATCCTTCAAATATAAACACAGACTCACATGCAACACTTTCAGGAATTTCAAGAGAAGGGCTGACATTCCCAGGGATACTCATTACATAAATATGATTGCTCAGATGCAATTGAAGTCATCTAACAGATACAGACAGATCAATTCAAACCACTTGGATATTAAATTGTCCATTGCAACAAGCTACTACACCGAGATAATTCAAAGATTCTTGCGTGTACAAAATGTGTGTAAACATGTTCCGCTACTGAAGAATTTGTCCCAAGGAAATTCTAGCATAGAACCTAAGCCATGGTTCTAGATGACCGCCATGCATGGGAAATTGATGGCTTGAAATAAAAAGGGGAAGAAGATTAAACCCATAATACTGTACTGAAGAGCAAGATAATGTATGAAACGGTCAAGCACAGCAAAAATGAAATGAAATATCTAATAACCTCTGTGCCTCCAGGGAAGCAAAATGAAAGGAGATCCTTGTATTTAAGTGGAAGCTGCTTATCGGGAGGGTATACAAGTAAGACCTGAAAATAAAACTAATATAATTAGTGAAACGAAAAGGAATAAATATTTAGAAACTCAACCCCATAGAAAATAAATAAAGGTTTTAGTTAGAGGAAAAAAAGGATATACTTAGAAATTAGAATTTTAGAGGCAACTGAAATCACCTGAGGTTCAAGGCTAGGTTCTACACGGGAATGATTCTGAGATGACAGTGCATTTCGGAATTTCCCAGATCCTTCAGATTTCCGTGCAATGTACTGCCTTTCAAGTGCTCGAATATCACAATTAGGATGAAGTCCAACCACTACCATACTCTCGAAAAGCCTTGATGGATCTTTCAATGATTTATGATCCTGAACACGACAACTAGTCGTTACAAAACCCACCTACCGATATTCCTTGTTTCCACAATTCATTATTTTCAGCACAAAGGAATGAAACTGATTTTTTTTATGGAGAAATTGGTTCTTTGACTTAATTAAAAACACATACCAAATATTGCAACTGAAACTTTGCCCACTGACGCTTCTGACTGGTTAAAACCTCTGGATTGTATACTATATTCTTTGTTTCTGGAGTTTCATAGAAGCCTTTAAGCACTTTTGCAACCTGCCTCTGCAATCTTTGCAAAGGACTATCACCGCCATCGTCTTTGGAAGAAAAAACAACAGAAGGCCTTGGTGAGATGATTCCAGTGGCAGCAGCCTTTGCAACATCACCTCTTGTCTGAATGAAAAAAGAAGCACCCCAGCCTGGGCTACCGGTCTCTTCCTCGTTCTTGGCCATATTTCTACTTCACTGAAAAACCGAGTAATCTTACTGACAAGCATACTTCAGGATAAACCAGAAAGAGCTGACAAGAATCACAATCTAAGGCTATCAACCTATGTGTAGTTTCAACTAAAACTAAGAACACAGAAGAGAAGCTGATATATAAACTGGGAACAAGCATTGTTTAACTTAAACCCAGTTGGTCCAACCGCAAAAATACTACGAATAGAGAAGCTAAACCCTCAGAATCGATCAAAGTTTATCTATAAGAACGAACGTAATCCACTAGTTGATCAAATACTTGAACATACATCAAACACAGGATTCCATTGAACAATTCAACGAGATCAATTCTAGCTTTTACTTCTGAAATAGCAAGACATAAAGAGGAGACAAACTTTACCATCGTAAAGAAAAACCTGATTCATAGCAAAAGCAATATTTTGCAGTTAGTAGGACTAAAACTTATAATCATCTGTTAAAATTCGATCAGTTGCTGAAACTTTAACCCCACAAGAGCCCTAAAATTAGATTGGAGGATGAAATTGCAAGAGAAAGCAATCATACCCAAGAAGGATTCCTAGAAAGTTCCACACACTTCTCGGTCACAAACACCGATAATTTCAAGGACTCTACGATAAGATTAAGAAAGTAAAACATGGTCAAACCAAAATCTGACGAAAAGGCAATCACAGAAAAAAATCGATACCCAGATGAGAAAAAGCAAGGAAGATCTCACCTTTACAAAAGAAAAGATGATCTAGAGAGAGAGAGAGAGAGAGAGAGAGAGAGAGGTACACGACATGCTTAAGCAGCCATAAGAACCCCGAAGCTCTGCTTCAACATCAACGGGAGAAAGACCCAGACACAAAAAGTCACTTGGTTATGGAGAAGACGAAAGATCCAGAAACTTTTTCCTCCATGAACAGGGAAGGTTATCCTTCGGTCTGGTAAAAGATTGATTGACGAAGGCGGCGAAGGAAGAATGAAGGAACCGAAGAAAAAGCGACGGTCAGTTTCTTTCTCCTCTGATGTCTCTCTCAGGTTATTGTCGCTTTGCGTCAAATGTCTTAATGTGTATACGCCGTTGATTACCATATTGGCCACTCCATAAATTATTTATTATTTATATTTATTATTATTATTTATTATTATTAATTATTTTGTTTTGATGCTTAATGCCACAAAGAGTATATACGACTGTGTTGATTACGTTTAATAAAATATATAAACTGTCCAAATGTTCCACTTTTCGTAAATTACAGTAATAATTTTGTTTCCTAAATAAAATAGTTGTTTCGTTATGGCTGTCCTTATTTATATAGTCTTATAGAGCATATAACAAATTGAATATAAATAAATAATGGTGAAAATGAAAATCACAACAAACATATTTTTTATACAAATATCTAATGAATTGTCATAAAATATTACACTATAAATATTTAATGATTCCTCATTTTTTAAAGTTAATAAAAATTATAAAAGGATAGATCGAAATAGATATAATATATAATTATAGATTTGGTAGATGGTATAATAGAAATATATTTATTATTATTATTATATCATTTTATAATTTCTCCCTAACAAAAAGACAAAATTAAAACGGATCATTATAAAAAATAATTTTTTTACTATTTTGATTTCAACACATACTCTCTTCTCCGTTTGTAATTCTATAATCTATATGACCCAAAATATAGTATAGTCACATGTTGATCATATTGGTTATAACGTTAAATTTATAATATTTTAATCAAATGATTAGTGAGATATACAAGATATGGACATAATGAATTAGTATGATCACTATAAATTTATCGTTATGATCAATAAAACTAATATATATGACCAGACTATATTTCGGATCATATGGGTCACAGAATCACAATCGGAGAACGGTATGTGTTGAAGTCAAAATAACAAAAGTAAGGTATTTTTTTATATAATTCCAATTAAAACAGATCAAATTAATAAAAATTAAAATATGATCCCATGGGTTTTTCCTCATGTGTTTATATGTACATATTAGTTTTGTCCATTATGCTAACTAGGAATGATCATTTTGGATTCAGTTCGGATTTGATTTGGTTATATTCGGGTTCGGTTATTTTGTTTATAAAAAAATTATAATAATTCGGTTTTATATCAATGTTGGTTAGATTTTATTTTGATTCGGTTCGGTTTGGATTTAGTTTTTAATCATTAAAAAATTATTTTTCAACAAATTTTTTGGGTTTTTGTTTTTTATTTAGTTTGGTTTCGATTTTTTCGATTATAGAGAAGTTATAACTTTTTAGTTTTTATATCGGATTCAATTCAATTACAATTATATTCTATTAATAACCAAAAACCAAAATAGTGTCATTTATTGTATTGAAATGTGTTAAATTGGTGGTTAGTGTAGAAACATCTTTTGTTTTGTTTTGGTTCGATTTATTTTATTTTGAAGAAAACAAGGTCAACAAAAGGAGTAATAACACGATATTTTTGTGCCGAATTATGATTTTATTTTTTTTATAAAATTTTGAGCGTTCGCTCTATCATCGTTGCAATTTTAATAAAATATTATATCTTTCATGATATTTTCCAGATGCATTCCAAATAAAAATGAGATCGGATTAAGCACCTAATTTTGTGAGAAAAACATATAGAATTTTGAATATCTTTAAAAAAACAAATTTTCTATTAAAATTAAAAATGTAATGGGACGAGCATACGAAAACTAAAAAAACGAAAATTAAGGAAAAGATTATTATATCCAAGAAAAAAATGGATATAGCATATAGAGGTGACATGAATATGAGTTAATTAAGTTTTAAAGTCTATGGGTATTCATGGTAATCCATCTCTCTTTACCTTAGAAATATAGAATATTGATTCATATTTTTCATCTATCAGAAAAAATTATCAAAGTAAAGGTGAAATGAGAGAAAAACTAATTTGCTCATTTGTTTTTCAAAATTATTCCGCTACAATATAGATTCAGGTATATTTCATATATGGTATATACTATCTTATTAAGTTTGTTTGAATTATGTAATATCGTATCCATTTCCTCTGAGTTTTCATAGAACGAAAACCATCAGAATAAAATTTACAAACCCAACCGAAACCGATTAAGTCTCTCTATAAAGTCTCTCTCCCTATATTTTATATATATATATATATATATATATATATATATATATATAAAAGTTTATCGCATCATCTCAATAATTAATTAGAGAATTGAAAATAATGATGTGGTCACTAGTGGTTAGCTTTTCCATCATACATATATAGGAGAATCTTTTGTACAAATAGTACATGATTTAGACCACCCACCCAAAAATTACACGATTAATAAAACATTCTTTTCTTTCATAAAATACTATTTATTTTTATATATAATCACATCGTTAAATTAAAAATAAATAAATTTAAAAATAGGAAAAAGAGAAGCATGGAAGTGGCAATGATGCATGCATGCATGCTCGCTCGTGCCCATAAGAGATAAAGAAAAGCAGACCGAACACCAACAAAGGAGGGACCATTTCCTACAATTTTTTTTTTTGGTTGGACCAACCTTTGTTCCATTATTATTCTCTTAGCCAATTTATATCTTAGTTATGAAATATTAATGTGTCCATTATTCGTGGTTAATGTTAGTCTAATGAATTTATACCTACTTTTATCTTTTCGATATATTAGTCAATAACCAACACACATTCATTGTTAGAAAATTAAATTCGACGAATATATATAATATAATAACGTTTTCAACGTCCGAAATTAGTTCGAACTTTTGACTTATTTGATCATCAATTGTTATCTTCGATTCCTTGTATTATAACGGTCCACCGGAACAATATCATCATCACCATCATCATCTTCTCCAACACAATTTTTGAATTTCTAATTATGATTTTATGATCCGTTGTTAGATCTCTAAATCTAATCGAATTCTATATATTTTAGGAGGAAACCCCATCTTTATAAAATCTATAACTATGCCATAGACGCTAATTAAAATCAAAAGAATCGTGATCGCATGTCACACGTGAGAGAACAAATAAGGGTTTAATGAACGGAGTTTTAGGAGTTTATAAAATCTAAAAAAAATGACAACCAATATTTTATAAATTTAGTTTAAAAAAACTCGGAAAACTATTTTATTTTTTTAAAAAAAATCAACTAAAAACCAAAAAAAATCCATTTTATGGGATTTACAAATAATACAAAAAACAAAACAAAAAAACCAACCTAAAATTCAAAAATAAACAATAAAACAAAAAACTCAAAATAAAAACTACTACCATGGCCAAAATTTGTGCAAGTATTATTCCAATATTATCCAAGTGTATTGAAGCTTATATTTTCATTTTTCTTGCTTATTTTTTTTTATCGAATAGTCAATAATGATTCCCTAAGTAGGTTTTGGTAGGTCCATCTCGCGTGGAGATAAACATAGGCATAATTATCTATTAGCAAAAGTGCATAAACATTAACAAAAAAATGCAATTATTTCATTAGGACAAATCATATCATATCGTAGAAAAAAACAAAAAACTTCCCATGGAGAAAATCGATATTTCCGTTTGTACAAAATCACACACACACATATATATATATATATATATATATATATATATATATATATATATTAAAAATGA